ATCGGCAGAAATCTTGACGTCTGATAATTCAATGTCCCTCATACATTATTCATAGGTCGGCTTGCGATTACATTGCGAAGCTTCTTATGTTTTCGTTGTCAGCAAGATTACGTTTGCAAATCGTTAGTTTAGGCCGTCTTCACGCGCCTATATCGACATTGTTCCGAATCTGTCGAATGTTTCGGCTGAGTTTGTGGGCTTACTTAGGTTGTATTTAAATTTCTTTGGCAAACATTGACTTACAAATAAATGGACGACGGGTCTAATACAAAAACCACGAAAAAAATGTCCCAAGTCAACCTATTTAAAGGTAGTGACATGTAAAGGAATATGAAAAAGCTAAAACTTTGAATTTAAATTGTAATGTCATCGCAGTACTGTCTAATTTTGCTTGCTTCGCTGTCAGTCGAACAAACGAAGACTAAAGCGTGAATGACGCTCTGTATACGAGTTTAACGCCCTATAAGTTCGGACGCTTTTTAGCGCGGACCCGACGTCCATATAATTGTAAGTCAATGTTGGCAAATCATACATTGCAATCTTGGTGACTCCATCGATGAATACTAACATTCATAATATTATTTACAGCTGCTATAAACTTGTTAGGAATATTTTAGTTTGAACTAAACTCTTCATTGTACTACTCATCAGCGTTTCGAATCTTAAGGTAAGATTCGAAACGAATTATGAGCAAGTACGGGTTAGCATAATATGATTGTGAACAAATCAATTCATATTAGCAAGCAGTAACAATACAATATAGTCACACGAATAAATCCACATTCTCAGAAACCTACTTGCAAACATAAACAAGGCGTCTGTTCCGTCCTAGATGTATTATTATGGAATGTTTGTCAACATGATTATCCCTTCGTCTCTGTCGTCATCGTCCCTGGGGTTTCGAGATCGGAATGTATAATAATGCATATGTAATTTATACTTCGCCATTCAGGATTAGATGTTTGCTTTGGCATGTTCATCGGCTGAAAATTGTTAGTTCAATGTATTTGCGTTCGACTAAAACTATTTTCCTTTTGCTTTGATTGTTTGTGTGAAATAGCTACTTAGATAAACATTATTCGTCAACCCATTATACGTCCCATAGTTAGGCTCGGGTGTCCGCTAAGGAGGAGATTTCACATGTTTCTCAATTGCTGTGAACCTCTTTCGATACGAAGATTTTATCATGTGTCCCTTCACCGCAAGCGATAGGTATCACTAAATATTCACAAACGTACGTGACTTAGAAATTAAACTACCATAGATGGACTCCATACACAGGATTCAAACTGTCGATCAGAGTACCGCCGTTCTCATCTTAGTACATATTATTTTCTTATCATTTCGCTTCTTCTTATGAAACGTGGCATTCTCTTTATCAAGTTATCGTCGATACACCGTTCAACACGTACTTTGCCGTCAAATGTTCTAAACGTAAAATAAACAAATGAAAGTAGTGAACATGATATTATAAAATGTGTTATTATTATTATTAATCAATAAATAATAACAAAAAATGGGATGCTAAGTGATAGATTTACGTCAAAAACTGAGACTAATTTTGTTTTTCAATCAAATACTTTTATATGGTTACATAAATACCATACCTACTTTAGTTTTTAAATTCTCGGGCTTAGAAGTAGGTATTATATCCACTTCTAAGCTTCACCCGAGCCGAGTGGGTAGCGTCATCGGCAGCGCAGTGGAGAGACAAACACGCTTTGATATTCTAATTAGTCATGCCATAATGAAATGTTGGCCAATGGAGGGCCAATGGAGTTCCACAATCATATATAATGATAGGCAAGATTAAAAAATGCACTCAGCACACAAACAGTATTATTAAATACTATATATACATGTATTATGAATACCAAATAAGAAATTGCTTGTATTAACGAGCAATTTGGTATTCATTTGCTATCAGACATCCAGACGTAAGGCGGGATATCATCCTTACTTTATCGATATTCTCTTAAGCGCTTTTCGTCATCGTTTATTATGCGCATGGCCCAGGAATGGAATTCTCTGCCTGCGACTGTGTAGAAACACTGCTCAGAAGAGCACATACTCACAACCCGAGTATCTTTATGCTGCGATTGAATAGGCAGCGTCGGGGCGTTTTAATCTTCGCTCCCCAGCCCTAGCCCAGCTAGTGGTCAAGAGAAAGTTCATTTAGGCAAAAAAAAAATCACACTAGCGGTGTTCCAAAAAGGTTCCTTGCCCCTTCAAAGACTAAACAGATGCTAGATATAAACCTAAACAGACCTCGGGGCTGGAACCCTAGCTTCCTACTATATTGTATTTCATAAAGACCAACTTTACCTAATTAATTGTATCATTTTGAATGCTAAGTGTCAAAGACACAATAACGTGAATCGGTTATATCAGTAAATATTTACTTACAATATAAAGATAAAGATAAATTTATTCTGTAAAAAGAAATTAACTTAAGTACATGAATGTTATTAAATAACTTTTTATTTACACGTATTATGCGCCAGACTATCGCAAACAGTGAAATTAACTTGCACTACTAAACTTTAATCAAGGTTAGTAGTGCAAGTTAATCTAGGTGGTACCTGAACTAATTAAAATTGTTTACTTAGTGTAGGTATCACAAAGTAACTTAGTAGGTACATTTATCTTAGATATCCAAATCGGTGATTACAGCATAATGATTAGTCAACATATTATTTAATACGTGGTAATACAACCAGTACGAAGCAAAGACGAGACCACGTTATTAGTCTCTCTGTAATCTGAGGCGGATTTGCTGCCACTTCCGTGCGGGTTGGCTCCGTCTTCTATCGAATTGACTTTAGAATGGAACCTGCCAGCAAACGTGATGTACGTCAGTAGTAAGTTGATAATGAACAATTTATTAGGCTGAACGGATTTATCTTTGGTAAATGAAATGAAACACTTTCACTTGATTTTTCTTAATAGACTTGAATACCACCACTAACATAAAGATTATGCAGTTGTTGTAAGCCAGCTTGAAGGCAATAACACAAAGTAACAGTTCCAGCCGGTATTGTTGTTCTTAATTCTCTGTATATTCGATTAGTTGAGCCCACAGACCAAATAAACCTACTTACTTGACGTTGTCCATCAGTAATCACATCTACCAATTGGATGGGCCTGTGTCGTCAATAGTATTCTTTTGCAAAAACTTTCGTAACTGAAACGAGACGGAATCACAGTGACGCGTTTACATTATCATGTCATTACAAAGTTTTTGTTAGAGGAGGCTTAGTGGAGAAGCAATGTTATTTATAGCTGAGGCAACTTTCGCTGAGCGCTGGCAGTATTATTGCGGGTATTACCCTGTCCGTCTGCTCGCCACACAATTCCCAGAGCATGCATTATTCATGATTGTTACTGGCCCGCGCTGAGCATGATTATTTTATTGTAACCTCATATCGGCCGCTGCGACAAACATGAGAACCAGTCGTCAGATCAAGTTGTTTTTATGGCTCGCAAATTACAGCGAATCGTCGAATATCACTCGCATATTTAAGTATAAGACAACAATTGGGATTGAGTCAACAGTATTCTGTTCGTACGTTACGAAAATGTTTACACAATGTACTCAAACATTAAATAGACGACAGAAAATTGTTAGCTTTCTACGAGTACAACATCGTGACTATATAATTATAAGATGTGGGTTTAATTTAAAACAATTAGAAACTGGAATGCGTTATAATATAGGTATAGACTCTTCTGTTTATTGCGTTGCAATTATTTAACTTTTTTTGTTTAAGTACATGTTTGTTGTAGATTTCCTATAAACTGGAGTGGAGACACTTTCGAGGAATCAACTACAAATCAATAATTTCCATAGCACTCTGCTAGTGTTTGTTTCAATCAATTTACAACTTATATTTGTTCTAACAACAATAGGTGTACGTATTGTTGTTCAATAAATGGAAAAGTCAAATTCAATACGGTTCCCGCGGAGGTTGTCTTTCAATACAAATTCGCGCGATATTCTACGAGGCAAATTTAAGGCACATAATCCAATCTCGGAATTTGGCCGTAACTCAGTCAGGGAATATCAAGTGCCGCTGAAAGTGACGAAAATTACCAAGAGACTTTATTAAGCGCGCTCAGTCCGGATACGGATAATTGAATGTTATCAACTAAAAATCATTACCTAAGAAAGCAGAAGCTTTCTGGGTTTTGAAATGAAGACGATGAAATGGAATCCTCCGAGTTACCACACCGTATGAACGAATATAAATGATATGAAGAGGTGTCGACCCTTGGCCTCGCAACGCCAGACTCTGTTTTCCTCCGTCACCCTCTCCGCCCGAACCAAAAATCGCCAGTCATTAATCTTATTCACAAACCGGGATTGTAAAACGATTCCGTTTTCAAAAAATGCCACGCAATTGAATAGAAATAAAAGCCGGTCGGGATCGCTTTGATTAATTACCCAATGATCTTGAAAGTGACTGCTTTTGTGAGCAAATGTATGAAATTCTTGACAGCAAAATTATATTTTTCTTAAATTTGGTTTTGTATCCATCTCAGCAGGAGAACTTTTCAGAACGACGGCCTCCACTTGCAATAAAACTCTTGACTGAATAATGCGTTCAAATGGTTAAATTATTGATTTTGCTGATCCTACGATATTCCATCTCCAATGAGTGCACGATGTCTCAAGTGACTCTCTCTCGTGTGCTTTTCCGGTCTTCAGCGGGCGTCGTCTTTGGCATCGGTGGTCCATCACTGTCGTCTCGGTGCAGCGGTGACAAATTGGCCTGCGCTTTTGCTCTCGACAGTTCGACTTCCTATTTGCTTTCTAATCCAACGGTTGAACGGTGATCTTCGAAATCTGTAGTAAAAAATTATCTAAGCGTTCAATTCATGTAAAAAAAAGGTTTTGTTTTTGATCATAGGTTTGACCTGTAGATATGTAGGTCGTTATTAATGTGCTTTATTATTCACGGTAAATTGTAATTCTATCGTGTTGTGGTGTTTGTTCATAGAGAGGCACTTCCCAACGGCACCTTGCTACTGGCGCCGTTCTCCGCAGAGCAGTACCGTACCGACGTGCACGCAGCCGTCTACCGCTGCCGCGCCGCCAGCGCCGCGGGGACCATCATCTCTAGGGACACGAGGCTGCATGCAGGTGAGACCTAACAAACGCGAATAGCCAATTTACTGCTCCGTTCTCAGATCTAGTCATGACATCCCAAATAAGTACTTCTTACCACTACATTACATTTTATTGCATATGACAGTCAACAGCTTAATTAAGCGACGAAAGTACTTGTTTTTATGTACTAACCTTTGTCAAGTCATGGATCTTTTTGTTTGGTATGCTATTAAAAACTGTAATAGTAAATTGCAGGTAATATGCAAAGACATAAATTTGGTCCAAAAATGGTCCATATATGGGTAGCAAGGCAAACAGGTAGACGGGTAACCGGGTCGCTTTATCGCCTCTCACCTGTGGACCGCAGCGCGGCCCCGCCTGTATAATGCCTGCGATATTAAACCCTTATTTTAATATTACAACTCTCACACACACGCCGCGGTCGCTAAATATTTTTGACAATACTCTTTTAGCCTTTCACGCAATATATTTCAAACGTGCTGACATTTTTATGTAATATTATTCTGACAATTTAATGTAATATTATTGAGAACAATATTTCTAAAAAAAAGCCTCTTAAGTGTTCGTCGACGTTTCAGCCTATGCTTATATAAAATGTTGATAATTGATGAATTGATAAACATTTAGTGAATTGCTTATATGAAAGGAAATGTAGATAATGTAAGAGAAATATTATCAGAAACACATTCCCGGTAATAATTAAAAAAATAGCCTACACCATTACGTGAAAATATGAGATCAATTGGAGATGGTAATAATAGAAACTATTTATTGAAGAGCTTTCGCTCAACTGTCGCAGCAATTCCCAATATTCTGCTCCAAAGCGCTGCACGAATTCTCCGAGAAGTTAACGAACTGTCGCACGCAACCACCATTTTAAGCATCAATAATATAGCATCAATTAAAAAAGAAATTGTCCAAACATTTTCAACGTCATTCGTTTTAAAAAGAGAACCACAATAGATAGCTATGTTGATTGAGTACTTACTTAACTTAATAAACTGCCTATTGTGTTACGGCCTAAGCCACAACATATAACATCTCTATCAACGTCGCGTTTGCGGCGAGCAATCTGGCGTGAAGGTCGCCTTGGTCCATTAAGGCCGTTTTTGTCCCAATAAGCACTTAAGCAAGTTTGTTGCCTCGCCCCGATCATCCCTCACCTCCCCCTGTACGTCAACACGAATTATTCTACGATTTTTATCAACGATACAATCAAGAGCTGACAGTGCGTCAAATCTACCGCTAAACGAGTTCCAGTAACAATAATAAATTATGTAACAAATAGGGTAGGTATGTTATATTAATCCCACAATTACCAGTTCTTACTTTTGGAAATGTTATCCCCAATTCACGTACCTATCTTGGCTGGTATAAGTATATAACATTATTTTCACTTTGCATCGTTTCGCTATTGAATCCAGAAATAGGAAGTAATAACTTTTTATCATAGCATCTCGCCAGTATTACTTGTTCTTTATCCTTCAGTGTTTCCTTCGTTATTATCAAGTGCCCTCCGCAAAGGTACCTTCCATTTTCCATTTGAGTCGCTGCACTAAACGAATTCGCAGCGTCTTCGTCTACTGCGTGGACATTATTTATTTACCTGATTACGTTAGCCAAACGAATTGTATAAACGTTGACCTTTCCCGAGCGCGCATGGCTGCGAGCAGGCGCGGCGCTTTGTCGCTTGTGCAGAAAAACAGTCGACAACGTGACCTGCCTGCGGATATTCAATCCACCGCGTCGACTAAAGGGACCGCGTGTGATGCGAATGAGAACTATACCGCTTGCTGCGGCGTGCTCCACATTGAAATCAAAATTGAATTGTTCCTTGTAAGGAGCTGCTTTGATAGACAAGCTTTTTACAAAGTGCATGTACTTAGGTTTATACATGTTTAACTTTATTTTCAGCTTCTCAAGACAGTGATTTTAATTAGACAATGTCTACCCCTAAAACTCCGACAGTCTTAGTGACGCAATTCGGCCTTCAGAGTAAAACAATTCGACATACCAATACAGTCCACTTTTGACACAATTCCTCGGTACACTTCATACAGAAAGCCCGATAATGACTCGCAAGAAATGCGAGCAAAAAACCACCTTCACGATCAATGATAAAGCCCGTAATCCATTCCGCAAGGCAGCTGACACTTGACCTACCGTATTGACATTTGGAAAGGCGCGAGTCGGGATCAATCTCTTGGCTGAAATGCAAATACGATTCTTTATAGAGCAGGCCTTAAACCCCTGAGATTGGGCGGGCCGCAATATCCCGCTTTGTGGGGCCGCGATAAAGGTCCGTTAATGGAATCAACGCTCGACGGGATTCTCAGGAATCCCCGTCTATTGCTCTGGCAAGTTCAATTTTTGGCGAGATTTTAGCGATATAAAAGTGATCCGATCAAAGCTTCACGATGTAAGTGTGAATGGATTTTCTGCCACTCATATTTGTACAAAGATATTTCATGTTCGCGGGATTCCTAACACACCAAATTGAGTTAACTTTGCTCTTGTATATCAGTTACGAAGTAAATTGATGGAGCCATCAAAGTAAGCGGCCTCCGCCTCGGCCCCTCGGCAGCGCCTGACTACCTTTGACACGTACATCTCGTCTACTCGACGCGTATCAGCCGATTACGCTCTTGTTCATCGTGAAGAGGTCTCCTCGCCGCCTTTTAGTTTGCAATCGCTGAACAATGCCTCCACAAAATGTGGAGCTGAGTGTTTTATTTGTTGACTTAACTATATCTATTTGAAGTAATGAAACCTCCGCATTTATAAATTAGTATTTGAGCACGCAATAATAATTGACTTACTTGAAGTATTTAACTGTCTTTGTAACTAAGAAATATTATATCTGCTTGGTAAAATTCCGACTTCGAGAAATTAGAATGTTCTCCACCGATATTAACAACGGCGTGAGATGCAAGCTTTTATCATGATGACTAGCAACGATAAATCTACAACTTTTGTGTCTATTGATAAACATACTGAAAGGTAAATATAAATCTATGTATAATTTAATGAATACACTTCGAGACCCTCGCTCCCTACAGCAATAATCCGAAACTGTACAGCGGAGTTAAGCATCTTTTAAAAGTGTTCCAATAAAGGGTGGGATGATGGCCCTCCACCCGTTGTGTAGCTCATTGTTCTGCGACCAGAGGAGAGGGAGGTACTGGTACTGCGGACGAGGCAAATTGCAAGATGGCAAGAGTGCTCACGTATGAGGGCATTTTTTATGGCGGCTAGAGGCGGATGGTTTGGAATACGCCGCCGTTTTGATTGAGTTTGCTCTCGATATGGCTCCCACGACAGATTACATTTCACAGTTATCCCTGAATGGAAGACGTAACATACATGTGCGGTTTCTTTGCAAACAACTGTGTTTATAACTCCGCTTCACACATAGTCATTTTTCATATGATTATATCAAATATTTCATTAGATATCAATAGCGATAGTAAAAACGTAAAGTTTCTTAAGCTTTGCCATTAGCAAAAGGTAACGAGTGCTTTGAAGAATTGGACTCACTAACAGTGCTGTAGTGGATCATAATTTTCTGTGCGCGTAGGCCGAGGAGTATGCAAAGTGGCCATCAGTGGCAGCCGGCCGCAGCGTCGGCGGCGCCTTCCGACTAATTAACTTCCTCGAGTCAGTGCCCGTGCCGGAACTGGAACTTTTGCGACCCGATATTTATAATTCTCACTTCGTGTCTACAAATATGACATAAGGATTTGATGTATTGGTGACGTGACCAGTTTGTTGCTACGAATGGTTTCGATCAAGCACCTTTGTATTGACGATATTACTAAATCTGTTTTTCTAGGAATGGTAATACTAATGGTTAAGATTAGCGCCTTCAATATTGTAATAAAACTCAATCAAAACATAATTTAACCAATTGAATGTTTAGCAAGCGAGCGGCGATTCGTCGACGTCGACATTGTCTGCTTGGACTACTTCCATAATAAACCACTCCGAGTTTACGAAACAAAATCCTTTCATTCGTATTGAAGGCACGTTTTTAATTTATACCGGCGGCGCGCGGCGGCGGCTTCCCAAAAGATAATAATTGTCAGAAATGTGATGAATCGAATTACCCATCGGCCGTCGGCGTCGCGTTGCTTCCGTCTCGCTGCAAACAAAAAATTAAAAATTATCGAAATCCCAGAATAGACCCGCTATTGATGAAAAAAATTTAAAATTCAATTATAGTATTCTGAGACAACGTAATCGAGTGAAATATGAGGGGATGAAATACTGAAAGTAATAAAATATTTTCAAGTCAGCTTCGGCGTTGATTCCACGAAAGCGAATGATGATATTATTGAGAAAATTAACATTTCTTTGATGCAGTGCAAAAACAAATTATTTCGTTCGTTCAATAGTTAAAGTTCGTAATAATACGTAGCTAAATCGTGACATAATCTCTCTTTTTGAGTCAAATTAAAACCGTAATTGAATACATTAGGTAGTAAATAAAAATTAAGTGCTACAGACGGCTGTAAGCCTCAGACAATGAAATAAAACTGCTGCAATTCTGTGATATCGCTTATTACGTCGGCCGGGGCTAGCGAGCGACGCCGCGCGCCGGCCCGAGTGGCTAATGTCGCTCGACATTGGCGGCGGGGGAAATCTCGCGGCCGCACGAGCCGCTTCATTATGCAGCGTCTGCCGCTTTTATTACTGACGATGTGCTGTGATCACCTTTGTTGAGATATGCTCTTTGCTCGCTCATGCTTGTCATTCGAGTGTCCTGTTGGACAATTCTGCAAATTGCGGTACATTACACTTTCATAGAAATTTATGTTTTTATCTCTACAAAGGTAATCTGATGTGAATTCATTCGGTAAAATTTTCTTGCATTTAAGTGTAAACCCCAACAAATTCAGTTTGAGCGCTAACATTGGCGTGATGTCATGTGATGGCTGTATATTTATTTAGCAGAACAAATTAGTAGTACAAAATTCCACAAGTTTCGCAAAAACAAACAGGCAGCAATCAATCCACATTATTTCTTTGAATTGTTATTCACTGATTTCTGATTCAACACCATTGCGCACTTTTTTACTTTTGCCAGAGCAACCGGTGGTGTCTTAACGATGTCTAACAGACTATGTTCTACTATTTTCATTTCATTACACTTCGCGTCGTCGTGGCCTCGCTTCGCCCTCAGTGGTGATGCACTTTGTTTTAATTGGCACCTTCTGTCACGATTATCAGTAATGAACTATAAAGAAATCATACCGTGGTGAGAAACAGTGAATTAATAATAAATAACCACTTTGTGAATAAACAAGAAAGTCTTGAAGTCTATCTTCTTCTAAGAATATCTTCCGTCGTTCCTTCTCTAGCGGTCGCCTGACCGTTAGAGAAGCGTTTTCCATCGCTCGAAAACATTTAACTTTACTTTTAATTTAGTACGTACTGAGGAAATGTGTCAACATTTTTCGAAAGGCATATGTATTACCGTATTATCTATGTCGACGTAATTATTACCCTGTAGGTGTAAATAGTGCAGAGACTACCAAGGAGGTTCTCACACATCAAAGCGGCCAAAGAGCTTGGATAGTAGCCGATGCAAAAAACACATCGTAATTCGCATGTGAACCACCACTAACCCATATCACTACGGACGTAATTAATTGCATCACCGGCCGACGGTCGCTTCGTGACGCAATGGGTGGGGGGCGTTTGGCAAGTGTCCCCTCCAGTACAGTCAAAGGGCAGGGGGGTAACAGCTGTGTGTGACAGCAGAGCTTACCGCGGCCGCTGCAGCACACGATTACAGCGCCGATTTACATCACTGAATTCGAGTTGGGAATTTGACTTTGATATGTGTAAAATGCGTTCTATCGCGGCTGGAACCCGTCCAATATTTCGGCTGCTATAACGTCCATGAAACGCTACGAATATTCTAAAATCTAATTTTACTCTCGTTGGTCACAATCATCGAGTACGTCACAATTTTATTAAAATATGCATTATACTTATACCATTTATGTTCATTTCTTTGTTTCCATTACGTATAAATTGTTTGCACCATAATTTATGTATTTATGAAAAAAACTACTTATACAAAGAAAAGAAAGAAAGTTGGAATTGCAGTGATGGACGTGGAGTGGGAAGCGCACGCGCAGGCGTCGACGAGCGTGGCGGGCGGCGCGGCGTTGCTCACGTGCGTCGTCCCGGGCACCGTGCGCGCACACGTCGCCGTCACCGCCTGGCTGAAGGACGGCGAGCCGCTCGCGCCCATAGCTGCCGAAGCTGGTAGGTACACTAAGAACTGGAAGAGATAAGCGTATCTAGCCGGGGCGTCGTAAATTGAAAACGGTTCATAGCAATTCGGACGGCAGTCCCAGTTTTCTGTAACAATTCAGCTGGATAATTTTACTAAAAAATATAAAACTCGCATAATAATGTATTTCGATTTTAAGTCCTTAAAACGACTTTCACTTTCAATTACCAAGTACAAACCGTTTTCCCCATTTGCCCCAGGCGTATACACCGCAGGTTAGAAAGGATTCAAGTCAACTGTTTGTGGCGGGTGTAGTACGTGTTTTATGTTTTATTTTACAAAAACAGGTTCCATTAGCTACATTTTAATGGTCTTTATTACAATTCCTAGGTGTCTCTACGAGCCTCAAATACTGGTCCATAGACGTTGCCAACCGCGGACCGGCGGCACATAAATCGAAATTAGTTTGTCGGCCGCATCCCGCCACAGACTACTACTTTGAATTATCAAAGAGTCCGTTCAAAATTGTGGCACTCAACCACCCACAGGCTGGGAGCCGAGGGAGCCAACCGCCGCGTCTCAGCCATCGGTGTCTTTATGACTAATTCTCTCGTTCCAAATTCGATTAAGGTTTTCATTTCGAGTCAAGTTTTCTTTTCGATTACGCGTCTGATGAGTAATTAACGTTCAATTTTCAATTCAAGAGTTTTCCCTGTCTGTTTTATTGTCAAGTTTAATTGCTCTCTTCTTTTTCTTTAATTTAACAGTTCCTAAAATGTCTACTTACAAATCCCAAGCAGCACACCTATACCTAAGATATACTATATACTACTTATATACTATAAGATATGGAATAGAATTAAACTCGATTGAATATTTTAGGAGTTCAAATTCCCTCTAGATATCTCGAAGAAGGTTTCTAGATAATTTAAAGTAATAGTGGGCACAATTTGTGTGTGAAAAAATTTATTAGTAGATCACATGAGTGCTTTGAGAAATTATCTGTAGGTAGTGTTAATAGTGATTCTTTTTTATTCTCAAGTAACCTTCTAGAAAGCTACGAGGCCATTTGTAGAAAAGGATTTAGTCTTGTAGACAGTTTTTAGATAATTTATAGTCTATGATAGTTTTCTTAGTAATGCTATTTTAAAACCAAAATAACATGGCAAAATTAGATATAATATTTCTGACTTTTTCGCGCAATGTTTAGTCGTTTAGAAAGCGCGAATTGACGTGCGACTTTAAATACATGGTGAAAAGTAATGAAAAACCTGTCATAAAACTAATGCGCTCGCTGAATTTTAAATATTTATGTATAAACATAAACTTAATAAAAATACAAATATCGATCTTCGGTTTTAAATATTTATAGAAGGCTTAAATATACAAGATAACTCACAAAACAGACCATTTCCAAGAAGTTCCAGGCTTCTTCAAACTAACTTCAAATTAGATTTACTTTTTAAAAAGAAAAGAAATTTTTCTCGGCTACAACATAGTCATTCTTTAAAAATAAATATGACGATAAAAATTTAAAGCTTTTTTCAAAACACCGTTGGGAGCATTTTGTCTATAGCTTATTTTATAGAAAAACTTTAGAATACGAAAAGATTATTTTTACTTGCTTTAGTGTAGTTGATCTTGTAGAAGAATATTCACTTCTATGAAGCTTTTATGATTGTCTACAATACGCGATCTTTCTAAACCATTTTTTCTTTACAGTAATAGTGTCAAATGTCCAGTAAAAATTGTAATGGTATCGTTTTATGCAATAAATAACCTTTCACACGTCACCCAAGGTAAAAAAAAACTATTTAAAAAATCCTATTTGTCGCAAAAAAACGTTATTCTGTATAATTATATAGAATATGTTATATATGACTAAAGGTGGATAAATTCCCTATCATATAAATATAAGGAATATTTTAATGAGATACCTAACTTATGTTGGAAGATATAAAATTTTCATTACAAAATTGAGGTTATTTCTTCACGCCAACCACATTTCACACAATGATTTCACTGGTATTCTATTGATAGACGGCACAATACACATACACAAGATTGAAGTACAGTATGTAGTTTACGAGCTCATTTCATTTGTTTTTATTATTTCAGAACACGGAATTACTTCACAATGTGTATTATTTGTCAAAGCATCGAAACGCAACGGTGAAAGCGAGTAAGATATAGGCTATGACGTGCATCCCGTTTGCATATAAATAAGAGGTTGGATGATGTGTTTCGTTGTAGTATAATGTGACTTTTGAATAATGAATGAAAGTCTATAATAGAATGAATATTTTCGGAAATTTAAAATTTTTGAACTTTTGACCTTGACACGTGTAACTGCAGGGTACATTTCTTTTGCGATTGTTGTTTTTAAATTTCAAACTAATTCATAACTCTAGTAATGAATTGGTAATGAAATCTCGTAATGAATTAGTTTGCTTGTAATCGCGCGTGGTGATAGGCATACTAATTATTTGTTTACTGATCGTAGCGGGTTGCACAAATTAGGTTTATTATAATGAGACTTAAAGTGTTTAATAATAAATAAATAAACCTGTAATTTTGTGTATAACCGCTCACGCGATGCGCTCCTCCTACCGCAAAATGGCGGCTATTTGGTTTCGCAAATTAAAAAAGGATTCAGTTTAAATACAAGTTTTTATAAATAAAAATTATTATTCTGCATTGCTAAATAAATACCTTCCGTATTACAACAAAAACATCTCAAATAAAATGCAGTAGTACACCGCAAATCCTGCACTTAAAAAGCAGTAATGAAATTTTTGGTGTACTTGGATAAATATGATAATATTCCGTTTGAGTGGTTCTAACGTTTATCATGAAATTACTCCTTAAAGTATAGTTTATAAACATTTATATTCAGGGTAAACTTAAAAAACGTTACTTACGGTATGTTTTCAATAAATAAACACCGAAATCACCAGCCCAAAAAATAACACACATGATTGTCGTGACGTATTTTTGAAGTTGTTTATTTTTTTTAAATGACAGAGCCACGCATTAAAAACTTTATGGTTTGCTAGAGTAGTTACCGAAATAACAATTAGTATTAGTTCTTTTACCTGTTATAATTTCGATATCCGATAAATCGGTATAAAATCATCACCGGTACCTCTAGGTGTGATATGCGTCTACGGCTGCATGTATCGCGTGAGCGGATATTAGTTATAATACTTTTGGGTTGTAGCGTGATGTTATATAGACAAGATTTCGGCTTTAAAATGCATAAATATTTTTTCAAATTCAACTGGAGTTCCGGATATTAGCACTTTTGAACAAAAAAAAGACAACGAAACAAACTACAGCTTTCTTATTTTAGTTATGTTATGATAACAATTGTAACCCTGCGCTTGTCACGCCATAAAACGCCTCGTCACGTGCGCTGTAATCGAAGTAGAAGTAGTCAAAAATAGATAGTTTTCCCAACGTTATCTAAAAACGCAAAACGGTTTCGTTAGGTTTTTTGAAAAAGCCATAACGACACATGACTAATCGAATGATGTGACATAATATCCAAGATTCTCCACCTCCGCCAGATCTTTTAATACTTATTCTTTACTTTGTCCATTTTGCATGAACTCTTACAACGTCTTACAATTTTTTTTTTAAATAGAATCTACTGAAGACGCGCTATAACGTGTTGGTCAATAAGTACACACACTACGGATTGTCTATAAATGAAATATATCTAGAACAAACTTAAGAACACTAGTTATTAGAGTATTAATAAACTTTATTGGATATGTATAGAATAATTGAACTAAAAATAATCAGTTGATCTACAGAAAAGGACTTTAAGAATTAAGACACATCACTCTTAATAAAGTTGTTTGGTATTAAGAAGGTTTTAAAATTTTGACTTGAGTGAAATAAGTCTATAAAAACAATTTCTTTTCTCTAAACCCATTTATAGAGAACTATTATCTAAGTAACTGTTATCATACCATATTAAGACTGTTTATAGATATAATAGTTTTGAGGTATATAAAGTGTGCTCCTCATGATGGCTATGACTACTCGTATGTTTCAATCCCTGTAGCAATGAAACCGTTCTGTAATAGCAACATACAATACAATTACAACGCTTGTATAAAACTATTATTTTAAAAAATCCAAATACTTACCTTTGCAATTATTTGCATAATTCATAAAATGATTTAATACTACAATTTCAAAAGGTTTGTTAAGCCTTGGAATAAGAAATTTTGTTTATGAAAATGAAGGAATATCTGGATTCTACTACACAAACGAAACACCCCGTCCGCAGTGAGCTAAATTAAATATCAAAGATAACCGTGACAAGGGTAAAACAATCGCCACTGTAGCTACAAGCTAGCGCGAGCTCATTCACGTGTAACAATTATGGCAGCGACAGGTAATCCTCTTAGTGCCAGTGAGGCTAGATGAAAAAGAGGAATAGACTACTCCATTATTATTAGTTTAGCTGGTTATTATAATTCAATGTTTTGGTCAAATGCCTTAGGAGTCGTGTCTAATTCAGGTCTAAGCCCAAATAAATGTAAATTGCATTGTCAAAGTTACTCAGGGGTTTGTTCTGTCTGAAACTCCTGTTCTGCTCCACAAAAATTATCTGCCTAAACTCGGCAGCCGTATATGGGGAAAGGAAGCTTATCGTTATTACTGCTCTGGCAGATCCTAAGCTGCAGAGCCTCGAGTACCAACCGTGCAAAGTTGCCAGTTTATCAATATTTTATCGAATATATTTATGGAGAGGGGAGTCGTCCCCTTTTCATCTCCACCAATACGCTCGATTCTTAGCTACCACCAATACGCTCGATTCTTAGCTAGTTACTCTGTACTGCTAAAATGGAGCAACTTTTAAAGTAACTTCTATACTTTGATTAGTGCCATTTAAAGTACATGTTTTCGGACAATATCCAAACATTTAGGAATATATTTTAATCGTGGCTTATCGAAGCTCTGCAGGAATTATAGTGCTCCAATGAAATTAATATCCAAGATAACAGTGACAAGGGTA